ATGTCATTTTTTTGGATTGAATACCTTAACTTATCCTGCAATACCTTGATCACGATGGCAGCACAGTCTTCTCCATCAGTTTCTTGGGGAAAATCACGTGAAGAGATAATTACAGACTCAAGTAGTTTATGTTGGTCTGTCTCGTCTTGGGTAACAGTGTGTTGTTGTTGTAGGTTGTTCAGATGGTTCTCAAACTTGCAATATTTCTTCCTGTGTTTCAGTGGTTTCATCTGGATTAAAGTTAGTAACTGTATTCTTGAGAAGGTTTAATTCTTGTTCGAGGTGGACGACTTTGGTAGATAGATCTTGATTGTTCTTGAGTAAGTCTCCAGCTTCATTCTGCAAAGATAAAAATGAGCCTTGCAGGTTCATTATTAAGGCCGACTGCTCTTTGATTACTTTCATTTGATCTTCATGTACTTGGGTTATCAGCAAGGCGCTTGAAGTCAGAACAAGGGGCAGCTGCTCGTTTAAGTTGGTCCATATGGCTACATAATAGTTGCATGGCCCGTGTCAGAGACGGCGCTGCGCCCAGCTGAGATTGTTTGTTATTGTTGACGGGGGGAGAGTCGGTACCCCCCACGGCGGCCACCGAGGGGGAGATAGCTGAACTAATCATGTTGCTAGCCTGGCTAGTAGGATTATTCTTGTTTGGTTAAATTTTTTAAAAAATTTTAAATTTTTCCCCGAGGGGCGAGTTTATTGGGCAGCGCCACTCATCTTGTGAGTGGACGCACCGCCATAGCAGCATGTACAACACTCCCCAATAGGAAGAACAACCGCTGGGTTGTTAATCCTGTCACTTGTACCCAGACACAGCTGGGACTTGCTTAACTGTCTCAAGTGAACAGCTCCTCAAACAAGAAGATTAACATCTATCAACCCTTGAAAGCTTACGTTATCTTGTGGGTGCAAAATGGGGAAATCTTTTAAGAACAGCATCAATATTTGACAAATAGTGTTTTCCTAACTCAAACACTGTGGGGTTTATTATTCTACACATATTTCTGATATCTCTCAGGTGTTCACATTCACGTAGATAGTGGTCAAGGCGGTGTCCGTCACTCTCCCCACAGATTCTGCAACTTCGCTGATCAACTGTTGTTTCCATTCCATACCTCCAAGGATATTTGTATCCAAGACGGATTCTTGCTATTACTGATTCCCTCCCTCGTCCTCCTCCTCTTCGGCCATAACGATTGGGATTGCCAGCTGCAACCATGTTGTACCATCGTATAGATTCACTAGTTTGTGCTTCTATCCTCCTTTCCTCAGTTACCTTGTCACGGTGATGTTGCCTGACAATACCTCTAATTTGTAGTAGAGTCTTGGGTATGAAGTATTCAATATGGTCTCCTTCAGCGCCTTCAGCAGCCAGCACATCTGCTCGTTCATTTCCACATATTCCAACATGGTAGGGGATCCACAGAAACTTGATGACTCTTCCCTGATTGGTAAGTACTCTCACAGCTCTCTTAATTTCAGCGACTATTGCAAGATTTTCTGCCCGATTTTTACTTAGGCTTTGCAGTGCTGCTTTTGAATCGGTACAAATCACTGCACCATTAATGTTCCGTTCAAGAAACCTTAACGCCATAACAATGGCAGTTAGCTCTGCTTGCGTTGAAGAGGCATAGTTCTCAATACCACATTTGGGTCACTGTGTACTTAGCTGCCTTCGGGTGATGCTACATCATTTGTTCGTAGCCGAGAGCTCAAGGATCAGCTGATAAAAGAGGAGGGAGGGCAGGGCCGACAGGTGTTGTTGACGTTCGTTCGTTCTTTTTTCGAACGATCTCATGTAAATTGAATCCTTCCAAAGCAGACTTTCCTTTACCATACATAGGTGAAGGACGAATTTGTATTTATTATTGAATAATTCTTAAGTGTGTTACTACTGTCCACCATTGTCATTCTCTTTACCAATTTTTCACCCTCTTGGATCATCTTGATTCTTGTTGTTATTTGTTTCAAAGTTATCTGACATACAACATCAACAAGAGTTTTTTTCGTGGCTCTCTTCGCTATCTCATCAACTACCTCATTCAACAATAATTTCCACATGTGAAGGGATCCACACGAATCTTACTTTATACCCAATTTTTTATAATTTCCCAGTTTCCAGAAATTAATGTGAGAATATCTCAGCTGATGGAACCTTTTCAGCTGGACAGCACATTTATTTCTGCGGTTGGAAGAAAATGCTCACCGAGTGGGGGACTTATTTTATTTTTATAATAATAATAATAATTAATTATCACATAAAATAATTAATTAATAATAATCATAAATGATTGTAATAGATAATCCTTAAATGAAGAAGCATAAGCTAATTATAACGAATAAATAGATAATTAAAGTGGATAATTAATTATGGTGACTAATAATGATTAGTGAATAACCATAAATTATTATACAGAAATAATATTAATGGGTAATTCCAATTCTTGGTATTCTTGGCTTATCACTTTGGGGGTTCCGTCGGAGCACCCCCAAAGGTAACACAAATTCATTGCAAATTGGGACAAGTGTCCCCAGCAAACTGCTTTAGCGTCTTCCCTTGGAAAGTAAACCAGGGGATTCAGGGGATCCCGGGAGGAGGGTGGGCGTTTTGTAGTGTGTCGTCTGGGGAGGAGGCGGTTGTAACGGGGGGTGGGGCAAATAGCTCTATCTTGTCCATTATTCCACCCCCCCAGTTAACTAACGAGGCCGGGGGAAACAGCTCTCTCTAGTCCGTTATCCCGTCCCCAGTTAGCTAACTATTCTAGAGCACTCCCAGAGTTCCTAAGGCAACCTTTCTCGTTCAACACCTTGTAACCTAGGTATTTGACTACCTAGGTGCTAAGACTACAAGGCGCCGTAACTGGATCAGCTACCCGAAACTCTAGAGAGAACTCTAGAATACATTTCACTGCCACAAACGTATAAGAGAAAACGAAAGGAAAGAAATGAATAGTGAAGTAATTAGTGAGGGTTTAGGGTGAGAGGTAGGGAGGTGGGAGGGGCGAGGAGGGTCATTAGTTGAAAGGGAGAGTTTAGAGAGGGGTGGAGGGAGAGGTGTAGATAGGTAGAAGTAGAAGAGTAGATAGTAGAAGACCAAATGCTGCCACCATCCATTCTAGACCATTACGTACAAGACAAGGAATGGAACTTGTCTATATCACAATATTCTCAAAAGATGTTATCAAAAGGTCATTATTAGTATGGTCCATCTGTATCATCTATTCATTAATATCATGAACCAGTAACCACAGAGGCTTTCTCACCTCAACTCAAAACTCTAGGGAACAAAGACAATTTAAATAATAAATTCAATTATATTTCACATACTAAGTATCATACTTTAAGCCATGTTCAAGATATATATAGGTAAAGTGAGTCATCCTCCAAGAATCTGAGAACACTACAACTGACTGCCCCTGATCATCACACCACACTTGTAAAACACGACCAAGTCACCTTAATGTTTAACTCACCAAGTGTCTGCCTATTGCTGGATAGAGGGGGGGGGGAGTCTGTAGTGGACAGAGACTGTCTCGCCCTGCCGGCCGACAGCCTCCCTGCTAGGCCGTCTCCTCTGCTCTGCTGGCTGCTGTTCTTCTCTGTTAATGCTCTCGAATCGATAGCTCTCCGAGTATATATTGGGGAACCTAGTAGCTAACTCCGCCCACAAGTAGATAGCCTCCGGCTCTCTACTAAGCCACTCCTTAAACATCGGCATGTTTGAAGGCTACCAGGCTCCAATTATAAGATTAGTAGAAGTAAGGTGAAATTCGCATGACCTGACCTCAGGTCACTTGGTGGTCATTAACTCTTAGAGGTGTGAAACTCCAGCTGACAACTTGGCGCCTTCTCAAATCCCTGTCTGTGACTCATGTACTCTATGTATGTATAAAATACAACTAAACCAAACACTTTTACAGTGTTACACGGTCAAGAGGTCGCTGAGTCCCCGGGTGTGCTCTAAGTATCCCGCTTGATGCACACGCAACTTTAGTCGGTTAGACACAAATTTATGGTAATACGCTTTCTTCCTCACAGAAACATTACCGCTAGCTTGAGCAGCAGTGTCTATTTTCTGCGATTGGAAGAAAACGCTCACCGAGTGGGGGACTTATTTTATTTTTATAATAATAATAATAATTAATTATTACTAATTTATAATAATCATAAATGATTATAATTGATAATTCTTAAATGAAGATGCATAAGCTAATTATAATGAATAAATAGATAATTAAAGTGGATAATTAATTATGGTGACTAATAATGATTAGTTAATAACCATAAATTATTATACAGAAATAGTATTAAAGGCTAATTCCAATTCTTGGCTTATCACTTTGGGGGTTCCATCGGAGCACCCCAATCCTGTGAGGGCCAGCGGCACGGATCCCCCACCCCCGAAGGGCGAGCGGAAGCTGGCTGCTATAAGTAGGAACATGACTTCTCGCTACCCTGGACGTAAGCGTGCCCATATGCCCGGAGAGGCCATTAAAAAACAGTCAGGTTTTCCTGACTGAAAAAGGTACCATTCCGGGTCTACTAGGCAGATGCTGCTAATTGACGCAGCTCGCTTGGTGGGCCAACGGAGCGCCATCTTGACGAACTATGGTGCAGGGAGGCGGGATAGCCCACCAACCGTGACCCGGGGAGGAGTACATACTGCCGGGTTTGTACTTCATGCAGGGAGCGCTTTTCACCATGGCAAATGACTGGTCGATCCCGTGTATATCTTCGTCGTAGGAGCCTGCCCTCACAGAGACCAGTCCTGGAAGGCTGGCCCCAGGACGGGTGTGGGAATGTGAACGCTGTCCACACCGAGGCCGACTCCCCAGGGTCGACCCCGTGTCAGTCGTTGTCGCTGTGGTGAGCCCCGCGGGTGAGGAGCGGAGGTGTCAGCTTAGAAGCATGTAGGTCGCCTCCCAGGATACCTCTCACGGTGGGCATGAGAGCCGTGGTCCGCCTTTCGAGCCCCACCGCGTGTTCCTCGATCATCACAGGTTTTCCTCGTCCTCGTTCTATCGTGGATCTGGAAGTATTAAAGCAGTAAGGGTGGGCAGGGGCTGGCGTGCAGTGGTAACGTGAAAGGCAAAGGCACAGTTGCGTGGGATCCCCATCATAAGTGTACTGCTGGCAACTTAGGCTGCAAGAGTGGGGATAACTGGATGCGACATCTGTTGCGAAAGGCAGGAATGGGTAGGATTGAATGAAGTCCCAAGCATAACTGAGTGGGGAGTAACTGAGAAGCCTAGTGATGTTACTGCCAGATACAGTAAGTGCTAACTCCTGGAACAATCGGACGCCTCCTCAGTGGGAAACTAAGAGAAGTAGTGAATGCCAGCGTCAAGTAGTTAAGTAGGCTCCGGCATGGCAATTATTAATAATAATATAAATTATATGTCAATGTTAAAACACAGAGCAGACAGTGGACTGCAGGTGGCCCCGAAGACTGCATAGAGTGCAGCGAAGTCCATATCTCTATGTAGCGGGTAAATACTAAGGAACGCCAACAGGCCAAGGTAAGAGGGTGTTAAGTGGCATCAAACTGTGGAACCACTTATGCTCAACAAGACGAATTAGAACTGTAACGAAATTATTATTAAGAATGGAGAGAAAATGCGTTCTTCCCTTCTTCTCTCGTGAAAATCCTTGGCTGGGACACGCCATCTGGAGCCTCGGCAGCTGGACCATTGCAGCTGCGGCATCTTTGGTTGGACACCGCTAGATGTCAACTTCAGCAGCTGGGACATCGTCGGCTGGATACCTCCTTCTGGAGCTTCAGCTGCTGGATCATCGGCTGGGACCACATCAGCCGGAACCTCAGCAGCTGGGCTTGGCCCCCAGGGGGCATGCTCAACTGGCACACCACCAGCTGGGCCTCGCTCAGCGGCCGTAACCCTACCAGCTGGGCCCTCAGCTGCTGGATCATCGGCATGGACTGCGTCAGCCGGCACATCAGCTGCTGGGTCTGACCCAAGAAACAAACAAAAAAAATATATAATACATAAATTAGAAAGGAATATAAAGAATGACAAAATGTAAATAACAGAAATCCTATATAAATAAAGAGGGATTTTTTTTTTGCAGGGATATTCCTGCGTGGGCCCTAAGCCTCTGGCTGGCCCACTAAGTGTTGCTTGTTTCTGTTTTACTTGGGCGGAGTATGAGTATTTATTACTCGTATGGTCGCTTTAGTAAGATTTTGCCATATGTGTTTAACAACTTCTTCTGCTCTGTTGAATCTAAGTTGAAATCTTAATGGGTTTGTAACTGTGCACTGTGTTAGATAATGTTCCAGTGGTCTGTCGGGCATTTCTCCACAGTGTTGACATTTCCTTTCATCTTCTGGAACCTGTAAGCCTATTTCCCATGCACATGGGTATCCAAGCCTGATGCGATGTAAGTGCACTTCTGTTGTTCTACTGCTCCCTTTCATCAAACTAAGTGGTTCGTAGTTGGTTGAATTCTTGTACCAACCCACAGATCCTGATGTTGCAACTGCTGTGTTGTGGTCACTGTACATCTTTTGCATTGCTCTGTTTCTAATTACATTCTTAATCTGTGATAGACTCTGTGGTATGTAAATGTCTACATTTCTTCTCTTAGTTGCAAGTTTTGCAGCTTCGTCTGCAATGTCATTTCCTATTATTCCCACATGACTTGGCACCCAGTTGATAAGTACCCGTCGGCCTTGTCGTTTGAGTGTTTGCATTAATGATATGACATTTGTGATCAGATGTATGTTATCACATATGTGTTCTTGTTGCAAGGTTCCAATGGCGGTTCTCGAATCTGTATGTATGATAACATGTTGTCGGTGTTGAGCAAGAGCATGTTCCAAAGCCTTTTGAATGGCTAGCATCTCTGTTTGTAAAGTCGAACACCCATTTGACAGCCTCCAACTATTGACAGAGTTTCTTGCTTTAACTGCAGCTCCGGTCTCTTGTCCCTGCTGGTCTACTGATCCATCTGTGAAGTAAGTGAAGCTGTCGGATGCCATGTTTGCTTCTATATGCATCTGTGCAATGTTACGTAGCAGATGAGGATTTGTCTGGTTCTTTTATCCTTCAATAACCATAATCTTAAAGTCTGCTGGCAGAGATTCCCAAGGGGCTTGCATAACAAAGTCTGCATGTATTTCGTCGACACCCTTCTCAGTGACTATGTTTGTTATATCGAATGTATTGATGGTGTTGATCGCACAATGGGTCCACCTGTTGCTATTGGAATAAAGAGGGTGACTGTGCATGCTCAGCTGCAGCACCGCCAGCTGAGCCTTCGGCTGCTATTATTTATTTATTTTTTTTGAGATATATACAAGTGTTGTTACATTCTTGTACAGCCACTAGTACGCGTAGCGTTTCGGGCAGGTCCCTGGAATACGATCCCCTGCCGCGAAGAATCGTTTTTTCATCCAAGTACACATTTTACTGTTGCGTTAAACAGAGGCTACAGTTAAGGAATTGCGCCCAGTAAATCCTCCCCGGCCAGGATACGAACCCATGACATAGCGCTCGCGGAACGCCAGGCGAGTGTCTTACCACTACACCACGGAGACTGTTGAAGCTACGTGGAGCTTCATGTTGTGGAGACTATTAGCTACGAATAATTAATTAACAATACTCATAATAATAATGGTTCATTATAAGGGCATGCTCAGCTGGGCCCTCAGCTGCTGGGTCACAGGCAGAATATAAATAATAATTAATTAACTGCAAATAATTAATTAACAATAATCATAATGACTGATTAATTACAAGGGCATGCTCGGCTGGAAGACCGCCAGCTGAGCCTGCGGCTGCTGGATCATCGGCTGGGACCACATCAGTCGGCACATCAGCAGCTGTGCTTGGCCTCCAGGGGCGTGCTCAGCTTGGAACACCACCAGCTGGGCACTCAGCTGCTAGATCATCGGCTGGGACAACATCAGCAGCTGTGCTTGGCCCCCAGGGGCATGCTCAGCTGGAACACCATCAGCTGCTGGATCATCGGCTGGGACCACATCAGCCGGAACATCAGCAGCTGTATTTGGCCCCCCAGGGGCATGCTCAGCTGGAACACCACCAGCTGGGCCATCAGCTGCTGGATCATCGGCTGGGACCACATCAACCGGAACATCAGCAGCTGTGCTTGGCCCCCAGGGGCATGCTCAGCTGGAACACCACCAGATGGGCCATCAGCTGCTGGATCATCGGCTGGGACCACATCAGCCGGAACATCAGCAGCTGTGATTGGCCCCCAGGGGCATGCTCAGCTGGAACACCGCCAGCTGTGTCATCAGCTGCTGGATCATCGGCTAGGACATCATCAGCGGCTGGGCTTGGCCCCCAAGGGGGCACGGTCAGCTGGCATACCACCAGCTGGCCCATCAGCTGCTGGGTCATCGGCAGCATATCCACGTCAGCCGGGACATCAGTAGCCTGGCCCGAGAGCAGCTGGGTCATTAGCTGCTGGATCATCGGCAAGGACTACATCAGCCGGAAGACAAGCTGCTGGGTCTGCCCGTGGGCGGGCAAATCAAATGGTAGCGAAATTATAATAACCAGTATGGATAATTGAATATGAGGGTAATAATAAACAGGGAAACGTGAATAGACATAACCAGACATAATGACTGAATAATAATTGAGACCTCCTTTGTGTGTACCCCGACATTGCATTGGGTAACTGGCACTAGGCTCCGTCAGCAATGTTCCATGACACATTCTCCCTAGTTGCATCCATCGCAGCACTGGCGCACTGCTCAGTTAGGTTATAACAACGAGTAATGTGGTACATCCATTGTTCTTTATCCAATAATTAATAAGCACAGGGGGAGAACGATTATAATGAAGAATAATAATAAAGAATAATAACACTAAAGGATAACAATAATAAAGAATAATTGAGAGGATTCGGCTGAATCGAATCTTCGGGACTGAAGTAATTGTTGAGCTTACTATAGATAATATAAGTATGAAGAAAGCTGTTCTTTTCTTAAAGTAAAGATTCTTATTAACTGGAGCGTCAGCTGCTGGATCTTCAGCTGGGACCTCGTCAGCCGGAACATCAGCAGCTGGGGACATCAGCTGCTGGATAGTCTCAGTCCCGAGACTGGGACCTCGCCAGCCGGAACTTCAACAGCTGGGTTAATAATTATAATAAAGATGAAAGTAACTTCCCAATTTTTTCCGCCTCCGCCGGGAGTCGAACCCGGGCCCTTAGGACTACGACCACCAAGCGCTGTCCATTCAGCTGTGAGGCCCAGAAATAAAATGAAATAACAATAAAGAATAACAATAATGAGGAATAATTGATAGGATACATCTGGATCGACTCTTCTTAACTGAAGTAATTCATGTTCTTATTAAAGTATAATATAGGCATAGAGAAATCTTATTCGTTTGTTAATTAAAGATTCTTAGTATCTGAAGTTTCAGCTGCTGGACCAACGGCTAGCAGCTGGGTTAATAATAATTATAATAGGGAGTAATAATAATAAAGAATAATAATCATAGTGAGACAATAATAAAGGTATAATTGATAGGATTCTTCCGAATCGATTCTTCGGAACCGAAGTAAGTCTTGATCTTATTAAAGTAGGATATAAGCATAAAGAAATCTTAAAGTAAAGAATCTTAGTAACTGAAATGGCGGCCAGATGGGCGACACCATGAGCGTGGCGCCTCCCGCCCCCGAGCGCCCACTAGGGCAAGGGGGCGAGCAGAGCCCCCAAGGCCACGCCTAGGGCAAGCTAGCCACTGATCCAGCTGCACTGTGCGTACCAGTGGCTTTACAAGAATGTTATTACTAAGCTGAGTATCCTCACAATCCCAAAGTACCTTCTTGTATATGTATAAATAAATAAATGAATACCGAAATAAATAAATTGAGCCTGGCCACGCGGCAACACCACCAGGTGTGGCGCCACCTGCCCTCGTGCAAGGGAGACCCACTCGTGCATGGCACGACACACACGCTCGGCACGGCACTGAGGGCGGGAAGGGGCATGCTCCACTGGATCATCGTCGGGAACTACATCCACCGGAACATCAGCAGCCAGGACGGGACTTAGGGGGAGCCCTGCACGTGCACTCCACGTGGCCCCCAGATCCGGTCGCCGCCACAGGAGGCCCACAGGGGCGTGAGAGAACCAGAGCACCTGGGGACAAAACCCACCAGAGTGAGAAGGCCACAGAGTGCCTGTTTACGTGGGACGACACCCCCAGCGTTTTTGCGGCACCGGCCCGCGGGCGAGAGCCCGGCACGCCCACACCCCATGGGCCACGGCCCAGGCGAGAGGCGAGGCAAGGCCCCTAGGGCAGCCCCCAGAGGCGTGCGAGCCGAAAGGAGCCGTCCACATCGGTCCCCGGGCGCGGAAACTAGGCCACGCCGTGCTCACCTCCAGGCCCCGAGGGACGCCTGTAGGGAAAGTAAACCAGGAGGACTGGCCACATGGGCCACGCCACCGGGCGTGGGCACCGCACGCCCAGGCATCAAGGAGCCCGCACGCCCGGGCGTTAAGGAGCCCGCACGTGCACGCCTCGTGGCCCAGGCGCCCACTAGGGCCACGGGCGAAGCAGTGGCCCCAGGGACCACGCCTAGCCTGGCCGCCCGGGCGACACCACCAGATGTGGCGCCGCCCACACCACGCGGCCCTCAGCCCAGGCGCGAGGCGAGCCAAGACCCCAGAGGGAAGAAAGCCGTAAGGAGCCTGGCCACGTGGCCCACGCCGTACCCTGGGCATGGGCACCAGGGCACGCCGTGCACCTCCGGGCCCCTAGGGGCGCCCCCTAGGGCAAGGAAACCAGTAGGGCTGACCACATGGGCCACACCAGCAGGCGTGGGCGACCCCGGCCCATGTGCGTAGAGGAGCCCGCACGTGCACGCCACATGGCCCGGGCGCCCACTAGTGCGAGGGCGACACGACACGCACGCCCAGGCACGGCGCGGAGGCGTGAAGGGACAGCCCGCACGGCTAGCTCCCTAGAGAAAGGAAGTAAACCTGAGAGGCAGCTAGCTACAGCGTCGCAACACACACGACAAGGGGCACGGCGCTGGGCACACGCCGATCACTGGGGAAGTCCCTAACTAACAAGGGCGCCCCCCACGCTGAGCGTGGTGAGGAAACACGGCCAGGACTGTACCTTAGGGTAATTGCGATAAGCAGGATGCTCTGAAACGCCATGGGCTAACAACGACTTCACTCAAACAGGAGTCCTGTGAGGGCCACCTGTTACGAACCCGGATCCAACGTCCGAGCCCGGAGCAGTGACGACCGCGCCATCAGCTTTCGGTCAGCTCCCGAAACCCCCTCCAAACGGACGACGACACCTGGTGAGGACGGCGTGTACTGGCCTCGAGGGCCAGTTTCCAGTCCCGTTCAGCACTCTACACCGCCGCCGCTGACCTCCGGTGAGGTGGTGCTCAGACTACAACGCCATCTATGGAGTGGATATGTTGGGCGTTTGTGTCTGAGCCAGTAAGTGAGGTGTTTTAGTGTCCCTGTTATTGATGACATGTCTGCTTACAGAGTCGACCTGGGACTGCTGTGATGGAAGTTGAGTCAGTCTACCTGAGGCAGCCGTCTCCATACCTTGTACTTTGCTGCAGCAGTTGTGAAGTCGTCCCCCCGGAAGAACACTGTGGTGTGTTACCCTGCCAGTGGAGTGGCAGTAAAAGGATTACCCGGGACCGACTGTTGGAGACGATCATCCACTGGGGTATTGAGGACAGGAGAGTGATTTGTGGTGTCACACGAGGCTCCTGTCTAGGGCGTTCCCCTTATATCGTTCGTGGAGTGGCCTGACCAGCCTTGCTGATCCGGAACCTGCCAGCAGACCAGCTGGACATGTGGTTGACGGCCTCCACGGCGGTGCCCTCAGTGGACCTGTGTTTTGGCTGACCTGTGGCCAGGGTAGGCTCAGCTTCCTAGAGGATTCGTTGTGAGGCCACGAAGAAGCACCGAGGATTTAGCACCGAGAGTCTGGATCCAGAGTCTTCAGCAGAAGACAATTGTGTATTTCCCCTGTACAGTGTTAATACCCCTCCCCCTGTGCACTCCTTTATATATTTATTTATTTGGTGATGGTAATAATTATAGTCTTAAGTTCTTAACTTTCTTTCCCTTCCCCCTTTAAGTTTCTTGCGTCATGGATCACATCCCTTGAAAGCCACTACTGGCTTGGGGTCGGATATAACTTCCTCTAACAACATCAGAGTAAGAACCCCGTTGCGTCCCGAGAGGGCCGTAACACCACCCTTGTAGGCGACGGTGGAAGGCTTCTGTGGTACTGGGCGTCGTGGTTCACGTGTAGCAGGATGGCGGTGGAGCGTTTTGTAGTGTGTCGTCTGGGGAGGAGGCGGTCAAGAGGTCGCTGAGTCCCCGGGCGCGCTTTAAGTACCCTGCTTGATGCGAGCGCAACTTTAGTCAGTTAGACACAAACTTATGGTAATACGCTTTCTTCCCCACAGAAACATCACCGCTAGCTTGAGCAGCAGTGTCTATTTGTTAATTTTAACATCTTTACGTGGCGCCATAAAGTAGAGCAGTTCAGGCAAACATTTATTTCGTCCACTGGTGTCGATGGAAGAATTACAGGTAATGTTTGCCTGAAATCTCCATCTAGCAATATTAATGCAATCCCAAATGGTCTGATGTTTTCACACAAATCTTGCAATGATCGATCAAGAGCCTCGAGCAATTTTTTGTAGTCCATTGTGCTTTTTCCCAAACAATTGGTAGGGAAATTAACACGGAAGAAGACTCACTATCACTTCAAGTTGATCTAAATAGGGTTTTGAAATGGTCAAAAGATTGGCAGATGCAGTTTAATGCTGATAAATGTAAAGTTCTGAGGCTAGGTAATGATGATAAAGTTACAAGTTACGTGCTAGATGGTGTTAAGATTACGAAGTCAAATTGCTCCCGGACGCAGGTTCGAATCCTCGTCACGGCCCTTGTGGATTTGTTCATTTGATGCATCACGTTAGTGTGATCTCTGTGTGTGATGATGTAAGGGCGAAGAGAGAGAACGGCCTATTGACATAGCTCGGGTGCAGGGGGAGGGGGGGTTGTGTAAAAGCCTGGTTTGTTCCTCGGAGAGGCTACGGGATCCAGTAAGTTCAGTAGAACTTCGGTTTCAACCCTTTTAACCCTGTCGTAGCTCAGTCGATTAAGGCAGTGTCTGGGATGCTCCCGGACGCAGGTTCGAATCCTCGTCACGGCCCTTGTGGATTTGTTCATGCTCTAGATATTTCTTCCCATAGATGCTTTGCTTCCATTCTGTCTAAATTTGGTGGCCTATATATAACTCCTATTATAATATTATTTGCTTTTTCCTTTAATTCTATCCAAATAGTTTCTGTGTGTGGCTCAGTTTTGATTCCCTCTTTGAGGCTACATTTCAAATTGTCCCTAACATATATGGCTACTCCCACTCCTCGTCTAATATATCTATCTGTGTGAAATAGTTTAAATCCAAAGGGGGAAAGATGGCTGAAAAAGCAGCACATATACAATTAATTTTCGTTTTTAATTTTAAAATTGAAAATAAAAATAAAATTTTTAATTTTAAAAATCTGAAGCGAATTTTGGTTGTGGGAGATTCCCAGGTGAGGTATTTAGATAGAACGTTTTGTGACAGATAAGGGGGACAGATTAAGGGTTTGCTATCCGGGAGCTGGAATTGGTGATATTGTTGGAAACATGAATGATATTATGACGGGAAATGGGAACAAAACCATTACTTGTATTAGTGCAGGGGGTATTGATGTTGGACGAGTTAGGAGTGAGGAACTAATACAGAGATTCAGGACAGCCATTGAATTAGTTAGGAACAAGGGAGGAATCCCTATCATATGAGGCATTCTTCAAAGAAAGGGAGTGGGTAATGAATGGATGTCGAGGGCACTTGGTGTCAATTACCGGCTGGAAAGATATTGCAAATCAAATGCAATATCTTTCATAGACAACTGGGAACACTTCTATGGAAGAAATGAAATGTATGCTCGTGATGGGGTGCATCAATCGAGGGGCTGGGGTTGTTGCTGTTGCGAACTCGTTGGAACCAGTGGTTAGAAGTGTTTGTTTGGGTTTAAACTGTTAGTAGATAGTGGTATGGGAATTGATTTGGAGGAAGGAGGTAATAAAAGTATGTGTTCGTGGGAGAAAATAATTGGCAAAATGATCAGGGAAAGAAAAGGGCCTCAAAATAACAATTCACTTAGGGTATATTACACTAACAGTAGAAGTCTAAGAAATAAAATTAACGAATTAAATGCTCTTGTCTGCACAGAAAAAATAGATATTATTGCACTTACCGAAACGTGGATGAATGTAGAAAATAGAGAACTATTAGCTGAATATCAAATAAATAGATTTAAACAATTTCACACAGATAGATATATTAGACGAGGAGAGGGAGTAGCCATACATGTTAGGGACAATTTGAAATGTAGTCTCAAAGAGGGAATCAAAACTGAGCTACACACAGAAACTATTTGGATAGAATGAAACGAAAAAGCAAATAATATTATAATAGGAGTTATATATAGGCCACCAAATTTAGACAGAATGGAAGCAAAGCATCTATGGGATGAAATATCTAGAGCATCTAGATCTAACAGTATTTAGTCTGTTAACTAACAGCTAAAGTCTTGGGTGACTTTAACTTTAGTGGAATAAACTGGTTGAACAAAACAGGGAATAGTGAAGCAGAAGATTTTCTAGAATTAATTGACGATTGCTTTCTTACGCAACACATTAAGGAACCAACGCGGGAAAATAATATTTTAGATTTAGTGTTAACTAACAGGGAAACACAAATTAATGACATCGAAATAGGGAGTGAGCTAGGGAACAGTGATCACAAAGAAATCAGATTTAGCATAGAATGGAATAGACCTGTAGGAGAAAATTCTGTTAAAATGCCAGATTTTCGAAAAGCTGATTTTAATAGCCTAAGAAATTTTTTGGGTCAAATAGATTGGAAAGTCTTGGGTATGGGGTGTGGGCCGGTCTTGGAGCGAGACATGAACCCAGCGACAGGTTACGTCAAAGAGGATTTCGATGTGGATTTAATATATAACTTATTTAAGAATATTCTAAACAAAGCACAGGAACGTAGTATACAATACAAATTGAATAGATCGAATACTAATGACCCAAAGTGGATAACAAATAATTTAAAGAACTTTATAGGTAAAAAGAGAGCTGGGTACAAAAGGATTAAGAATGGGGAAGTCAGTTTAGAACAGGAATTCATACAACTGGTTAGAAATGTTAAAAAAGAGATTAGGAAAGCAAAAAGAAACTATGAAGTTCGCATAGCAGAGCAAGCAAAGTCATATCCTAAAGGGTTTTTTCAGTTATATCTAACTAAGACTATGGAAAGGATAGGTCCATTAAAATCTGAGACAGGTCAAATAACGGATAATGACAAGGAGATGAGTAGTATTTTTAACAAACATTTTATATCTGTATTTACTAAAGAAGAACTTAACAATATGCCTTCAGCCGAACAAGTCTATGTGGGTGGGGATGAGGACAGGTTGACTAGTTTAGCAGTTACCAGGGAGGATGTAATTAAACAATTAGTAAAACTAAAACCAAACAAATCCCCAGGGCCGGATGAAGTGTTTGCCAGGGTGCTTAAAGAATGCAAAGAGGAGCTTTCCGAGCCACTGTCTACCATATTTAATAAAACAATAGAGTTAGGCAGAGTGCCAGAGTCATGGAAGGTAGCTAATGTGATACCAATTTTTAAGAAAGGAGATAGATCACTTGCGTCAAACTATCGGCCAATTAGGCTAACGTCTATTGTGGGGAAGTTACTTGAATCAATAATTGCAAATACAATTCGTCTCCAT